AAAAAGCTTCCGCAGAAAAATCCTACAAGTGTATAAATAAAAACATAAAAATAAAAAATGAAACTGTGTTGAAGCACCTCACGACAATATTAGATTCACTGAATAAATTACGAAAGGCCATACGTAATAACCAATTAACTAGCAGTCACCAAATAGAAACAAACCAAATATTTTCAACTGTTAGAGACAAATTAGTATCCTCACTAGCAAGATATAATATTGAGGTAACCATCCCAACCTCATTCGAACAAGAAATACAAATAGACTTCAATATCTTCCTATTTGAGAATTCATCCGATTTAGAAGAAGACAAGAAAATTGAAAATCAAACAAAAACTTTGCAAATAGGAAACGTCAAAATGGCACAATCAACAGTAGAATTCATTAAGACAGCCTCATCAGTGCTACCAGAGTTTGATGGTAAGCCAGAAAATCTGCACAGATTTCTAGACGCTCTTGATATCTTGGAACAAATCAAAGATAATCATGAAGTCCTGGCGATAACTATGATAAAAACCGAGCTAAAAGGTACAGCAAGAAATTACATAAGTAATGAAAATTCAATTCAAGAAATTAAGTCAAAATTGAAATCTACTATTAAAGGCGAATCAGTAGAAGTGTTGACAGCAAAACTCCTGAACGTACAACAACGTAGTAAAACCGCAAATCAGTATACTACAGAAATAGAAAAAATTACCAGGTCACTAGAAGGAGCATATATCTCGGATGGACTAAACCCAGACTTAGCCACCAGATATTCAACACAGGCGGCGGTCAAAGCTATGTGCAAGAATTGCTCCAACGAAAATGTAAAAATGATAATGCAAGCTGGCACATTTATATCAATGAATGATGCCATCTCTAAATTCACCAATAGCTGCACAGAGATAACGGGTAGTTCAAATACAATCCTGAGCATACGACAACAAAATCAATACCGTGGTAATTTTCGTGGTGGTTACCGAAATAACAGCTACGGAAGTTATCAAGGTAGAAGATTTGGACCACATCCCCGATACAACAACAATTTT